GGGATCATCAGGGGAGGGGAGAGAGAACCAAGAAAATGAGAGGGGGATAAGAGGAAGGGAGAAGAAGGCAAGGGAGAGCAGGAAGGTTGAGTCGAGGTAAGAACAGAGGAGAGCAGGATGAGAGATACCATAATAGATCGAGACATTATAGGCTTGAGGAGAGAGCTGACACTAGTGAGATCTTCAGAGATCTACAAGGATAACACCAACTGGCAAACTAAACAGTAGTGGAGAGATTGCACTAATAGCCCCTCCTTGATGATAAGGTTGACGACTATCCTATATGCCATCCTACAACCTTCATCCAAGGACTCATGGAAGCAGAGACAGATACACACAGCTAAACACTGAACTGGATCCCTGGAACCCAGTGACAGAGATGGAGGAGTGATGAGCAAAGGGGTCAAGACCATGATGATGAAACCCACCAAGACAGCTGACTGGATAAGGGGGAGCTCTTGAATCACAGACTGATGACTGAGAGACTAACAGGGGACTGATCCAGACTCCATGAATGTAGTCTCAGTGAAGAGGCCACAGAAATCACTGGGGCCTTGGGTAGTAGATGAATGTTTACCATGGTTTATGAATGAGCTTTGGGAGCCCATTCCAAACAGAGGGATGCTCTTTCAGCCTGGACACATGGGGAAGGACCTAGGTCCTGCCCAGGATGAAATGACAGACTTTAGAGATCCCCCCAAGGAGGGTCTCATCCTCCCCGGGAAATGATGTGGGGATTTGGTGGGGGGCTGGAGGGCTGGTGGAGGGACAAGGGAGGAGTAGTGGGAGGGGAAGCTGGGGCTGACATATGGAACATTCACGTTTCTAATTTAAATAAAAACATATATTGAGAAAAAAGAAATGTGATTTTTTCTCATCTCACAAGCATCCTTCAATCCCAACAAGATTAGCTCTCATACCATCCTTCAGGGGTACGTAGATACAGCATCCTGATATTCCAGCTAGTAGCAACAAGAAGCCAGTCTGAAGTAGGAAAAGCATATGAGTAGTACAGGCATTCCTGCTAGCTCCCACAATAACTTTCACAACATTCTTCTGAGCAAAGTCTATGGACTGAATGAGAATGCATTCATTACGCTAGCAACAGCTGTGCACTCCAAACAGTCACTGCCTCTCACAAATCTAACAGCTCTCCCTGAGAGCACTGAGTTCTTAGGAGTGTTTTGCTGGTTTTAAGGCTCGGAGAGCCCCTCTGCATGCCAAGGGTAACCTTGCCTCTGATACCTAAATAGCCCTAGGCATATAAAGTTCAAAGAAACAAATCCTTACTTAACAGTCATAGGCCGAGCTCCATGTTTTCCTGTTTTGAGGGGGAAGTGTTTAATGAGAGAATATTGGAATGAATCATTATGTCTGACGAAAAAGTAGCTGCAGATGTCCCAAAATTCCATGTGTTTAGCAGAAAGTAGGTTCAGGGATTTCTTATCCAGACTACATTATGTCCCAGATGTGTATCATATACAAACTCATATACCTACTGACCCCATTTTCATCAGGGGCTTATTGAACCCAAACAGAGGAATGCCAAAGGCAAAGTCGTCCCCAAAACAGACCTTGTGCCTTTATGAAGCTGACATTCCAGTGAAGAAAGATGAATGAGTGAAATGGGTAATAAAATTTACAGTGGTAAATGATGAGGGAAAAAAATTGGAGATGGATACTGACTGTAGAATTTCCAGAATGGGATAAGAAATTTGACATCAAATGCCCAAGAGAAGCTTTGGTGAAAGGTTGGCTTTGAAATGATATCTAGGCCAAAGGTAAAAAGCAAATCTGGAGCTAGCTGGAGATATACCACCAGGAAGACAGAATGCACTCAGAAGCTCCATGGGGTAGCATGCCTGCTGGCTCAGGTCTACCTGCTTGAGGAACAGGAGAGAACAAACAAAGCTGGAGGTGTGTGCTGGAAGAGAGGAGAGGGGTGAAAAAACCGAAAAGGTTTCAAAAACAGCACAATATTGCATGTTATCATGGCAGAAGAGCTTCAGAAACTCATCCCATATGAACTCAAGCAAGCAACTTGACAATAGTCCACATAGTCTTAGGACATGAATGACATCACTGAGCAGTAGATTTAAGAAGGTGCCTGACCATCTATCAGACACCAAGTTGATGTCCAGTGAACAATGTCTTTCCTAATTGCCCCTACATATAACCCTAGATAATATATTTTAATATGGAAGGATTTCTGAAACAAGTCTACCTTGGGAGAATTGTGAAATTGCTTCCATGGTTTCCACTATCCACCTCTAAGCACGGGAGGTACTGTTCATATAGACATAAGTCATTGCCTATCTAGTAACTGGACCGCACAACTGGAGACAGGCATGAGACCAGGGATGGGTTATTGGTTCTACCACTAGGAACTGAATTTGAGTCAGACACTGGGGATCTCTTCTCCTCATTGGTTCACTGGGTCCATCTCACAGAGACTGAGTTCTTAAAGAAAATATAAGGATTGTTTCCTGGGATTATAAGTCAGTGTGACTTTCACAGATTTTTGCACAACTTCAGATTCAAGAGACCCTTAAGATATTTGCATGAGATTAGAGCTGGATACATGTTGACTATGACCTATGCTGGGAATGGTGAATCATTTATTTACCTTTCTAGACTCTCAGCTTCATTCTATCCAAATAGAAGAAATAATATCTAGCTTTGTTCTTTTACATGCTTGTCTGGAGCAAAATACATAAAAGATCATTAGAAAACAAAACCAAAGAACTTGCAGGGTACACATTTACTCTGATAGTTTAAGCCTATATCTATCTGTCTCATTTGCATTTTGAATTACCATTTTTGGTTTTTGTTTTGTTTTATATTTGAAAAGCTTTAATGATTAAAAAAGTATAAAGACAATTTTTGTGTTACAAAATAAAATAGAATAAAACCTGAAGTACAATGAAATTTTTAATGGAAACCTGCACTTGAGTCCTCTGAACACTTTCCAAATCTCTGCATATTCATATCATACCCATGGCAATTTTACAAGAATGCCTGTCAGTAGAACCCATGAAATTACTCACAGAAACATGGAGTAACTGATGTGTTAACCAGACACCATCATTTTCATTCAGTGGAATGGCTTTTACCATCAGTTACAGGTTAATGCAGTTTTACTTTTGATATCCATGATTGAATGAAATGAAGATTCAATTTATAGAGACAAAATAATTAGAAGAATTCATGGAAATTCTATAGATTCAAATTATTTAATATATTGAAATGGCAGTTTTATATTTAAACTTTATAAAGAAATGACATTAGCTTTGAATTACCATTTTTGAATTTGACATGATGCTGATGAAGATTCCTTGGTATCTCATGGAAGACCCAGTGTGATCTTCCCCATTCTATCAGATAGATGGTATTAAGAGCTGGGGCAGTTTTTTTGGGGGGTGGGGATGGTGCCTGGAAGGCAGAACCTCTACTCACCAGTGGCCCTTGGTATGCCTCTAGCATGTGCCCAGGTGACTCTGTATGTGCTTCTCCTACAATACACTGGTTCAGATTACAGATCAGTTTATGATAGAGGAATATTGAAGGTAGTTTTTCTACTTTATTCATCACTGCGCCATACGTTTGCCTGTCTGGGTATCCAAAGTCACTGGCTAGCATATGGAACTATTGGGAGCCAGACTGACCCAAGTCTTTCTCAGAGGCCCTGGTAAAAAGACAAGAGGAACTTTAGATCTGTGTATTTGTCCAGGAGCAGTCTTGGCAAGACCAGTCTAACAGTGGAGCCAATGTCTTAAAGGACTTGAGATCACAGCTTCTGGGGACACGATTCTTTACCATTGGCTTGGTTATTAATCCTAAGGCAGCTGTGTCTGCAGTATCACATGATCTCTTTTCCAACATTGCCTGACTTAGCTCTCTGATGACCTTGACTCGTTTCCCCCTGCAAATTGTGTGTCAGATGCTACACCTCTTAATACACTTGTTTGACATAAGACAAAGTTTATGTAAGATCTCCCAACCAGGTTTTCTCTTATCTGTCATCTACCTTTCTGTCTTTCTTGTCTCCTGACGCTTCCCTGTCACTGAAGAATGACTTACTGCCATAGGACATAGAACTTGTCTTTATCTCCACGGTCCAACTGTGATCCTCTGAGCCGAGCTTGTGATGCTGTGGGCACAGACACTACACCGTGGTCATTGTCACTTGTAATTTCTCCTGGGGATGGAGATACCCTGCTGGCCTTTAGGAGAGTAGGAAACAGTCAATAAACTTGTTTCCTCCATATGGCACTGCTCCAGAGAGTCTTAGGAGCCTTTCTGAATGTGAAAAAAAATCTCTGCATAATTGAGATCGTTAAACAGAGACACAACTACAAGAATCTTAAGTCACTGGATGCCATGTCCTACTCCCCAACCAGATTCTCCTGGGTTCAACTAAAGCATTTCTTTACTGTTCCACAAGCCACACCAGAACACCCTAAGCCTTCCACAGAGTATGTACCTCCATGCACCCATGCTGCATATGTCCTCTGACAAACTATGGAGAGAAATTCTTCATTTCTAAAATGATGTACATTTTTATTACTTTAATTTTAAATATCTTGCTTCACATGTCAATCCCAGTTCCCTCTCCCTGCCCTCCTCCCGCACCCCCCACCATACCCCCGGCCTCCCACCCTATCCCCACTTCTTTGTCTGTTAAAGGATTGGTCACCCTTCTTTGGGATCATTTGAGAAGATATAAAGCTTTCTGAAGATGAGAACTAGTGGAATAAATTTATTTAGGTCACCAGGGTGTTTTCTTAAAGGAAAGATTAGAACCCTAGTTGCCCTTTTTTTCTGCTGTCACAAAAAACCAGCTTTGTTCCACCTCATAATGTCACCACAATCTCAAAACATTCAGGCAAGGGGACCGGGACCATGGAATCACACCTCTGAAACTGTGCTTTGCTGTGTCACAAAGTGTGACTATACTCCCCAAATGCATGCATAACATACCCCATACATACAAGTTCTGGTAAAAGAATCAAAGTGTTTTATTATTGTTATTTTGTTTATCATTTATACACATCACATGTTGCACAAAATGCCAACCAGGAAGCAATGGTAGAAAGATAGCTGAACTTATTGGTGCAAATGACTTTGTTATGACTAAGGATTTTGTATCACAGACAATTTGCAAGGATGTTTAGGAAATACAATATATTTTTTCAGCAGAGTAAATATGAGCTAGAATTCACAGTGGCATCAGGCTATTGATACAAGTCCTTTCTTTCAAACCATGACAAAATATCTTAGTTTGCTTCATCATCTAAAAGTATGTAATATTGCCAAAAAATAAAAGTTAAAATAAATAATCTCACAGCCTTACCCTATACTATCAAAAGACATTAGTCTAAGGCAGTTCCTTGTCTAAGCATGGCCATGCTTGTGAAAGCCATTATGTGCCTCTTATTTGCTTGCAGAGCTATAGTTTATCTGCTAAATGGGGAAAAAGTAGAAGCATTCCTTAGTAATCCAAAGCCAAATAGTATGTCACAATCTTGAAGAGCTCCTTGGCAGGTTAGATTTTGACATGCACCATTCATCTCTCATAATCTCCTACCTTGACACCAATGTCTTAATGGTGGCTGTACTCAAGGAAGCACTACAATCCTTCCTGAATGGTATAGTTGACATCATTTTGACAATTCCTGGGGATAATTCGTCTGTATCCAGACCCACATAGGGCAATAAAAGCCCAATATTAGGAGTATGGTTCAGTGTTAAAGCCACAGGATCTTATTTTTATTGCTTCCCCCAGCACTCCTAGTTCATTCTAGTCTAAGCTACTTTTGCAGACATCTTTTTCTCCCACCAGATTAAAGGAAGCATTCTAACCCGTACTTTCTGTAGCCACCTAGATTTAGCACAGAGCCAAGGAAATACCAAATAAATGATGCTTGTAAAAGAAATATATTCAAGATTAAGTTATGAGGAAATAATGGATAAAAGTAAAGTCATAGACATTTTAGCAAAACAGAAAATGATTGTAACTATATGATGTAAAATAATGCAAATGTTTTCCTCACATATGTGTATGTGTATACATATAAATATAAACATAGAATGCTAGACGCACCTTATTATTAAATTTCCTTGGGATATGAAAGATGAGAAAAATTATTTTTCATGTGCAATAATTTAACCTTAAGCTAAAACACATTTATAAAATCTCTGCAGTTGGGAGCAATATAAAGGAATCAGAGTGACATTAACAGATTTCAGCTTCCAAATGCTGTTTGATGCAATTCTAGTCCAAGTTGCAGCTCTTAATAATGGCTGATGATGTACCCTGAGTAGAAAAATGGTAATCTAATCAATCACACACTGAATTAACCTCCAAATGTGCACTGTAAAAACACTTGGGAGTCAGTATTTCAACTGATAAAAAGCCCAAGCCAAAAGTTTCAGACAAGTGACTGTCTCACAAGCCATCCTGCAAGTCACTTTTAAGTCACATAGAATGTTTCTTAATCTATCTTACAAAATTGCCCCTAGTAACCCTTTTGCTACAAAATATTTCCACGTTTTCCCCAGATTTCCAAATTATTGATCTAGCAAATTCTCTGTTCTAGCTTCATTTGTCTAATCCATATCTGAACTGCTTTTAAGTAATCATTTTCAAAATGTTTCCTAAATGAGAAGGTAGGCTCTTCTTTATGACAGGAAACTCTATTTTATTATCTCATGATGCTACTGCTCGCGAATTCAGAAACTCATGGGACCAACGTACAAGAGTCCTGAGTTGTCCCTGCATCAATTTCAGTTGTTGTGACTGAGATAAGAAACTGAAGAAAAAAGAATGGGCTTTCAAATCAAAGTCACACACACACACACACACACACACACACACACACACACACACACGTGCGTGCGCGCACGCACCATCCCCATTCTGTGCCAAGCAAGGGACTTGAGTCTGAGGTTTTAATGAATAGATTACATGTGATGCTTGCCTCAAGGAATGATGTGTATGTATGGAAGAATTATGAATGTGATGGGACTCTCAAGAGTTAATGAATTTATAGGGCCTTGAGAACACAAAGGTAATGGCAAGATATTGTGGCCTGGATTTGTTCTTCAGAGGAATATCTGGACAGTTGGGGTGGTGGTTCAAGCCCTTTTATCAAAAGGACTTGATCTATGGATGAATACATGTCTGCTATCCTGGGATGAGAATAATAGAAAATACAGACATCACAATTTCAGGAACTATATTGTAGGTAGAAGGAGAAAAGGTACTCTGGAGACAGAGAGGTGGAGCAACACAGATGATCTGCCAATAATGGACCACTTCACCCATTCTCCAGCTGTCTGACTGACAATGACTTTTGACACCACCTTTGTTGATGAAAATATTTTCCAGTGTCATCTAACTTATTTGTTAGGTAGGTGTTTTACACAGAAGAGTAGAATCTCACAAGGTATGACTTGGGAGTAACCTGGTTTTGATTTTTTAAATTGTGTCTTTCCCAATTAAATAACTACTCTGGATTAAAAAAAACATATTAAAGAAAACAATGAAGGAACACACCTAATTGACTTCACACCCAACATCATTTGTACATAATATAAATAATGCTGAATGACCAAGTTTCTGGATGGATTTTAGGCTTTCTTCACAGGAAGGAATTCTACCTCTAGTACAGCAATGCTGGTCAAAGGCCTATGGCATAAGAGGTCATAATGGTCATTTTGACTTCTACATATTGGTGTTTATAACCATAGACAGGGCCTGCTCTCAACGTCAGTCAGGGGAGCTTCCTTTTGTAGTGAACAGCAGTCATTGCAGAGATGCATAATTGGTCAGAGTGCTGAGAACGAAAGACTGAGTGCTCAGCTGAAATGGGACGTCTACATCAATACTGCACACTAACTGGGCTCAAGGAGCATTGCAGAAAAGCAGGGAAAGAGGAATATAAGAACTGGAGGTTACAAAGAATGCTATGAAATGCTGTCTCTGGATATGACATGGTTATCATGTTCCTGTATTCACTCCAGCTCTGGTAAATTCCATAACGCCTATACAAGATAGATCCAGGCAAAACTTACACATAGGCAGGGAAGCTGATTTCTGGGCCTCACTCCTCACCAAGGAGCTACCAGAAGTTGATAGCTTCTGGGGGAAGGGAGAATTCTTCTCCTTTAAAACCATAGGTTTCCCATGCTTCAGTGAATGGGTCACATATCCAGGCACACAAGGTAGTATTACTAACTGTACTTAGTTTTAAAAGACATGAGGTTAGGAAGGAGATTATTTGAGACTTATGAAGGAAGAGTTATGAAGGAAGAATTGGGAAGAGGAGGTATATGTGGTCATATTTTATTATATATATTATATATATATATACATTTCTTTAAAAATTATCCAAAGGTGAATCTAACCTTATCTAATGTCTTCTTCTCAGGTTTCTCAATGTGAAGTGCAGAAGACATGTTTGCTATGTACCTTCAAAGGACAGTTCAAAAATGTGTGGTGGGAAGAGCTTGGCCATGAACTTCTCACAAGACCTCGGGGGAGGGGCATCAAGGTTTCTTAGAACCAGCATGGGACAGGGGTATTATAAGAGCATGGGGCAAGACAGTCACCTGGGAATCTCATTTTTATTTAGAGTCTCTTTGCATCCGAGATCACAGTGGTAACTTCTTCCTGGCATGAAAGCAATGTTGCATGAATGCGGAATTCTCACACTTCCTTCTGTCAAGGCTGCTCAGATGTTCCCCATGTGCATTTAACCAGCCATTGTCTCCTCTTTGTGCTGTCCTTTACACACATCTCTCCCCAACCCTTAATTTCTTTTCTTATTCAGTTCCCTTTGTTCGGGGTTACTTCAAACAAACCTTTACCGGACCTATTCTTGGTTCAGGCTTCATCATAAAGTGTCCCTGGGGAGGAATCCCTGAGAGTTGGTACTTTTCTGATGGAAGCTGGAGTTCTGTCTCTGGGCAGAACTACAGTATCTGTGAGGTCCATCAATTTTTATTACCACTTGATTTTGCTAAGCCATGAGCTGCCAGAGTTATCAATGCATTTCAGCACAGAGCAGGCCCTGATACAGATGTATTTAGTGGGGGAATGATGTCATGGCAGAAGGCAATGACAGCTGGATGTGGAAGAATGGTCTTCTCCTTAGAGTTCCAATTTAAAGGTTATCTACTTGATCTTCCCAAGAAATCAGAACTGTACAACACCCTGTTCCATCACATGGCATCAGCCCAGCTCTTCTTTGATAAGATCATAATAACAGGTAGGTCCTCTTTGGTTCCCAAGAGTCATACTTCCCATCTGTGTGGTCCTGTCTCGCACACAGAGAAGCTCAGAAAGTCATGGAATTGTAGAAATGTACAGGATATGTTTCTCCTTCTACTCTTTCCCATTTTTTCAGCACTGCATCTGATTTCAGCCTGCCACTGAGGTCATTACTTGACTCTAGAAGACTGCCTTTATATTTCTATCTCCTTCCTTGAGTTTATTTGGTTCATGAAAAACAAATTCCAAATAACCTCAAGCTTATTAGTGTTTATTTCTAACTAGTTTGGGGAAACTACAAATCATACAAACAAACCCAAAAATAGACCTGAGGATGAAAACATACTGGCTCATTACCTTGGCAGGCATTTTGTTTATCGTTTTTATAACCAATAATAGAATGCCCATGTTTACATTATACATATATATTATGTATATTGATATATGTTATATATGTATATATATACTTTAATATAAAGAGACATAAAAAGGCCTTTTCAAATAAGCCATGACACACAATACTTGACGCTCTTATTTACAATACATGAGTACACTTTCTACATGATGATGGTGGATTATCAGATGCCAGTTAGGGTGTACAAGTACAGCAGGACACCTAAATAGGTGTGCCATGTAGCTGAATGGTTATTGCCATTAGTTCTCACTAGTCCAGACTGCATATTGAAGTTAAAAATGACATCTGATTATTGGAAAAGACAGTGATCATCTGACTCATTCTGGCTTTATAAGTACTACATGGTCTTTCAAATGGCCAAGCATTGACAAATGCTGCTGATGAGGATTAGAAACATGACAGGAAACAAGCATATCAGACCAGAGGGCAGAGCTCCACACATATCCAGAAAGGAGAACTTGCTACAGATGAACCAAGCAGCAACACTTGTGTGAGTCAGAAGATCCTGGGTTGTGTGACTAGGAAAAAGTATCCCTGACTCAGGAACTCAGGAAAATGCCCAATGAGAAATGCATACATTAAGACTACAATATTAAGAAATACAGAAAAGACTCACAAAGAAATCCTGAACCCACTGTAGGGAGATTAACATTTGCAAAGCCTTCAGCCCCCTCACAATACCACCCATATGTTTAATGATTGCAAATTAAGGACCTGAACTCATTTCCCATGGTCTGAATTTATTTACTGCATGTGTATGGGTTTATGGTTCTTACATGCACCCAGACTCCTACAGCATTCTTTCCATGGGATCAGTGACCTGGAAATCTAGTCCAGGTGCCCAGGAAAGACAGGGTTCCATACTGTGCAGGGTCCTTCTGCAAAGGGGGGGCTGTCTCTGTTGTGATCATCTATGCTGCTCTGGTTCATGCATTTCTTCTGTACAGCCAAATGTCCATCCTTCTGACTTTAGCCTACATAATACACTTAGATGGGAACAATTTTAAATATCCTTTTTTTTTCAAAACTTCTGCATCAGTCACTTACCAATAACACTTCAAGTTGGGTCTTCATTCTGGCTTTTGTTCTCCAATCTGATCTCACTTTTGCCTCTGCTATCTATTAATTTTTACAAATGTGGTCTTTCCTAGCCCTTTATTTTCCTAAGGCAAGAAGACATCACTATTGAAAGATAACAGCACCCTTCTTAGAGCTCCCCTGAGGTTCTTTACCCAGCATGCCTCCCTTGGAATGTCTTTCTCCTTGCAGGGAGAAGAGAAACAGCTGGCCATGTTAATGGTTTTGAATAGTTGCTCTTGCATGCAAGGCTAATACACCATTTCTTTGGAAGTATGTCAGTAGGACATTCATCCAACTGCCTCCTTCAGCCAGGCAGAGTCTCTCTCAATCATCTCCATTTCAGACAGGACATTAGACATTCACAGAAACAATTTGTGGACCAGGCTATGCATAGAAAAAGTTTAAGGAAGTAGGTGGAATAATTTGTTTAATATGCTCCCTACAACTGTTACTGTTTCTACCAAACCTGTGTTTAGCAGCAGTATCACCTTTATCTTCCCTTTCCTTAAGTCACCCTACTTACTGCTGCTAGAAAACAAAAGATGAATTTATCACTTTCCCTTGTGATTTTGTTAGAAAACATGGAGAAGATAAGAGCATGTATAGAACAATTTTTTGAACAGGTGGTATTTTTGATCTATTAAGAGTTCTATTTACAGAAGATGCCCTACTTCCACACAGAAGTTAACCTGAGTTCTGAAATGTTTGTGTGCACTTAATTGAATCAACACATGATAAAGCTATGACCTAGTAACAGATTGGGAAAAGTCTAGTTAGTCTGGATCAGTTCTCATGAGCTAGGCTGGTTATAGAGCTGAGCTCATCAATGGTAATCTTATTTTCTCACATTGTCCCTAGAAACATGTTGAATAAGATTCTAGGCAGCTAAACAAATTCAAGAAAACATTGTTGTCTTTTACACTGTTTGTTCACCTTCCCAGTGTCTAAATTACAAATGTCTCTAGTGTGCAGTCCCAGTGAAGCTTCATCCTCCCATACCCTCCATCTCCTTCTACTCCACTCTGGAATTCAGAGGTATGGAAAAGCATGACATAGCTAAGAACTGAACTGATCTGGTCAGTCACCCAGGCTGCTCCTTGGAGGCCACTACTTGAAATAGTTGAGTCCTGCCACCAAGAAAAACTTTTCAAGGAAGAGTTCTGAGTCCAGCACAGCTATATGAGCTGCACGGCCAATCAGAGTGTTGGCAGTGTTGGGCAGAGCATGGAACACGTTATGTCTGATCAAAGTGCAGTCCTTAGCTTCCACAAGAGGGCCCAGGAGGTTGTTGATCATTTCTGCATATACAGGCCCTGGAAGGAAGGAAGGAAGACAATAAAGGAAATTAGAGCAAAATTTGGCAGTACAGTCTAGAGAACAGCTCTGCATCTGTGTTGGCAGAGCACATAACAGACTGAGTTCCAACCTCACGCTAGTGGGTGCAAATAAATGAGGAATGGAATCCAATTTCTCTCTAGAGATTGCAATTGGTAGGGTTATGATGCCTTTCTTCAGATGACATAGTGACCTGGTGTTGGAGGCCACAGCACAAGTGAGAGGGATTCCTAGAGGAATGCTATCTCTCAGGAAGAGACTCAGAGGAAGAAGATTCAAGCAAGGTTGCTCGGAGATTCAGTTTCTGCTTCAGAACACAATGGGGGCTGTATCCATTTGTAAATCAGTCATGAAAGTTGACACTTCCTAAATGCGAAATTTTAAGGTCGAGCAGCAATGCAAGTTTGTTGCTGTTGTGTTGCCTTGTTTGTATAATTAAAAGACTCAGTTGACTGTGTTTCTATCTAAAAAGTGACTCAGTTTCAGGTTTGCTTTAGATAGTGGGGCATAGAGATATATGGTAAGAGAAATCATTGAGCAATGAGCAACCTGTACACCAGAGTCTACAGTCCACATCTCTTTCGTGCACTTTACTCCGGCAGCACATTCACGTAAACTTTATGCCATACAGGGACACCTGCTGGGATGATACTGCGGACCAAGGGGGCTTTCTGATTCAGTGGGAAAGGTAGAAACCACAAGCTATAACATAAGCTTCCAGGTGTCCATTACAACTAGGAATCGTGTCATAAAACCAGAATGGCACTCTTATTTTTCACAGAGAGGGGCAACTCTACTGAATGCTCCAGTTAATCAGCTCCACTCAAGACATTGCTCCCTTCCACATGAACAACCTCACATTGCTTTCCCTTTCCATCAACTGATCATTAGTGCAAACCATTAGGGCTATTTCCCTGAGTGGGGAGGGTAGTGGATTGGACCATATGCTGAAAAAAACTGCTTTTGGACTCTCATTCTCCTTTCAAGGTCTTGATAGTTTTGAAGCTGAGGAAGCTAAAAGGCAAACTAAAAAATCTTGGATTTCTTTGTGGAAATATCTGTCATAATCTTGCTAATTTGTCTGAAAACAAATGGCTTGTGATTGGAATAAGAGGAATTCTTCTTCCAAAGAGCCTATATGACTGCTTTAGGAAAGTAGCAAACTCATGTTCTAAAATCATATGTACAAAGTACTGTTTTTAGAAGGAAAATTGAAGTCAGTTATAAGTCAGTATAAAAGAATTGGATGATCGGGTAGAGGTGGGAAATGATGAACTCTAGAAATGTAATGGCTGTTGCATTCATGAACTCCCAGCAGCTGCACAATATCAAACCAGTTAAAAATTCTAGCACAGACCAAGCAACCAGGAGCCTGCAGAGAGAGCTGCTCCACTTCTGCCCAAACCCAGGGCAGAGGGCAAAGGTGAGCACACTTGCCCTCTCTCAGATCCCCTGGCTTGGGGACTGCAGCCAGGTCAACTCCCTCCTAAGGATGACCAAGCAACCTGGCACCTGCAGAGAGAGCTGGGCCATTTCTGCCCACACTCAGGGCAGAGGGCAGAGGTGAACACCTTGTCCCCATCTTAGACCCGATTTCTTCCTGCTCGGCCTATCTCTGAGTCCCTAGCTTGGGGACTGCAGCCAGGTTGACTCCCACCCCCACCCCACAATGGACAATCAAGCGACCAGGAGCCTGCAAAGAGAGCTGGTACACTTCTGTCCACACTTGGGGCAGAGGACAGAGGTGAGCACCGGGTCCCCAACTTAGACCAGATTTCTTTCCACTCTCCCTCTCTCAGATCCCATGGCTTAGGGATGGCAGCCAGGTCAATTCCCCCCAAAGGACAACCAGGCAACAAGGAGCCTGCAGAGAGAGCTGCTCCACTTCCACCCAAACCCAGGGCAGAGGGCAGAGAGCAGAGGCCAGAGAGTATTGGATTTGCTTGTACCCACCGAAAGGGAACCCTGGTTGCCTATCCACCAGGAGAGGAAGAGACTCTTTGTACACCCATTGGAAGAAATGAAGGGGAAAAGGCAATATAAGAACACACTCAGCAACAGAAAAACAAATATGACACCACCAGAGTCTAGAGATTCTACACTAGTAAGACCTGAGCACCACAATGCAGACGAAGCAGAAGGGAATGACCTTAAAAACATCTTCATGAAAAATGATAGAGACCCTCAAAGAGGATGTGAGAAAATCCCTTAAAGAAATGGGAGAAAAAAAAACAAACCAAAAAAATCAAGAAATAGAAGAAAACACAAACCAAAAATTCCAACAAATAGAAGAAAGGGAGGAAAACATGAAGCAAAAATTACAAGAAACAATTCAAACAATGCAAGGATTGAAAGCTGACATGGAGACAATAGAAAAATCACAGTCTGAAGGATTACTGGAAGTCAAAAAACTGGGAAAACAGACAGGTACTACAGATGCAAGCATAACTAACAGAATACAACAGATGGAAGAGAGAATCTCAGGTGTTGAAGACACACTAGGAGAAATAGATTCATCAATCAAAGAAAATCTGAAGTCCAAAAAAATCCCTAACACAAATATCCAGGATATGGGACACCATGAAAAGACCAAACTTAAGAATAATAGGTATAGAAGAAGGTGAAGAAACCCACCTCAAAGGGCCAGAAAACATATTCAACAAAATAATAGAAGAAAACTTTCCCAACCTAAAGAAAGACATGCCAATGAAGGTACAAGAAGCTTACAGAACACCAAATAGAGTAGATCACAAAAAAGTCCCCTCGCCACATAATAATCAAGACCCCAAGCATACAAAATAAAGAAAGAATACTTAGAGCAGCTAAGGAAAAATGTCAAATAACATATAAAGACAAACCTATAAGAATTACACCTGACTCTCCATGGAAACTCTGAAAGCCAGAAGGTCCTGGATAGATATTTTATGAACACAAGGAGACCAGGGGTGCCAGCCCAGACTACTATACTCAGCAAAGCTTTCAATCACTATAGATGGAGAAAACAAGATATTCCATGACAAAACCAGATTTAAACAATACGTATCCACTAACCCAGCCCTACAGAAAATTCTGGAAGGAAAACTCCAGTCCAAAGAAGTTAACTACAACCAGAAAAACATAGGAAATAGATAATCCCATTTTACCAATACCCAAAAGAGATACGGGGTGGAAATCTACATACAATTCCACCAAGAACAACCATTCCAAAAAAATGAGAACCAGCAATCAAAGGTCATTAATATCCCTCAATATTAATGGTCTTAATTCGCCCATAAAAAAGGCACAGGCTGACAGTGTGGATTCAAACAGAACCCATCCTTCTGCTGCATACGAGAAACACACCTCAGCCTCAGAGACAGACATTACCTCAGAGTTAAGGGTTGGCAAAAGACTTTCCAATCAAATGGCCCCAAGAAACAAGCAGGGGTAGCAATCCTAATATCTAACTAATTAGACTTTAAACTGAAATCAATCAAAAGAGATGAAGGAGTTCATTTCATATTCATCACAGGAAAAATTCACTAAGATGAAGTCTCGATTGTGAATATCTATGCCCCAAATACAAAGGCATCCACATTCATAAAAGAAACATTACTAACACTCAAACCACATATAAAACCTCACACACTAATAGTGGGAGACTTCAACACCCCACTGTCACCACTAGACAGAACTACAAGACAGAAACTTAGCAATGAAACAAAGGAACTAATAGAGGTTATGACACAATTGGGTTTGACAGACATCTATAGAATATTCCAACCAAACACAAAAGAATATACCTTCTTCTAAGGGCCACATGGAACTGTCTCAAAAACAGACCACATACTTGGCAACATAACAAACCTCATCAGGTACAAAAAAGTTGGAATTCCATGTATCTTATCAGACCACCATGCTTTAAAGTTAGAGTTCAACAACAGCACAAACTGAAGGAACCCTACAAACACACAGAAATTGAATAATGCGTTATTGCACCATGCCTAGGTCAAAGAAGAAATATAAAAAGAAATTAAAGACTTCCTAGAATTCAAACGAGAATGAAGACACAACATATCCAAACTTATGGGACACTTTGAAAGCAGTGCTAAGAGGAAAGCTCATAGCACTAAGTGCCCACATGAAAAATCTGGAGAATAGTTACACTAGAGAACTAACAGCACAGCTGAAAGCTCTAGAACACAAAGAAGCAAACTCACCCAGGAGGAGTAGATGCCAGGAAATAATCAAATTGAGGGCTGAAATCAATGAAGTAGAAACTAGGCAAACAATACAAAGAATCAATGTATCAAAGTGATGGTACTTTGAGAAAATCAACAGGATAGACAAACCTTTATCCAAACTCACCAAACGGCAGAATGTGAACATACAAATTAACAAAATCAGAAATGAAAAGTGGGACATAACAACAGACACTGAGGAAATCCAGAGAATCATCAGGTCATACTTTGAAAACCTGTACTCAAGAAAATTCAAAAATTTAAAGGAAACAGATGACTTCCTGGATAGATCTCACCTGCCAAAATTAAATAAAGAACAGATAAGCAACTTAAATAGACCTATAACACCTAAGGAAATAGAAGCAGTCATCGAAAGTCTCCCAACCAAAAAAAGCCCAGGGCCAGATGGCTTCAGTACAGAATTTTACCAGAAATTCAAAGAACAGCTTATACCAATTCTCCTCAAAGTATTCCATGCAATAGAAGCAGAAGGGTCTTTGCCAAACTCTTTTTATAAGGCTTCAATAACCTTGATACCCAATCCACACAAAGACACAACTAAGAAAGAGAACTTCTGACCAATTTCCCTCATGAACATTGATGCAAAAATACTCAATACAATAATGGCAAATCAGATCCAAGAACACATCAGAAACCTCATCCACCATGATCAAGTAGGCTTCATTCCAGGGATGCAAGGGATGGTTCAACATACAAAAATCAATCAATATAATTCACCATATAAACAAGCTGAGGAA